TCATACCCGTAACTAGAGAAACGGTTTACAACAATAATTTTCAAACTTTTCATTATTTCTAAATATTTACAAAAATTTTATGATGTCTTCCAATTTTATCTACGACTTCTCTCTCTATGACTGGTCCTGCTGTCATCATCTAGACACTCTGCTGTCTCTTCTATAGAAGAGTGCCTAGAGGATGACAGTACGACCAGCTGTCGAAAGCGCTCGCAGATAATCAAATGGAAGTCATAGAGCTTCGAATCGTTCTTGTAACTCACATTAATATTATATGAAGGGTTTTACAAAAACTACGACAGGTGTTTCGCTATACAATAGCTTTCTCAAGCGTGAACTGAAAGTTACTTCTAAATTACAACTATTTTATATTCTAACATATTACCTACTTGTGTGCATACTTTCTAATGAATGAATCTACCTTAAAAGGTCAGGTATGAATTCATTAACTATATGAATACATTTTTCGAAAGTGTCGTAAATATACCTAACTATTCTTACCTGGGAATGAACAGATTCAATAATGGTGAATTATGTAGTTCAGTTTGATCGTTCATAAGATATTGAGAGTTTTTGAATTTGTTCATTTCCATACTTCCAACACCTTAAGTTTCAATCTTTCCTTCTGGAAATGGAGGGGCTTGAATTCATGGTTGAACTCATGTCCTTCTGTGATTGAATGAGTGGCATATATGAAATTTATTTCTCCATTCTGGAAACTATTTTTGTATTCTATCATGCGGGCTTTCAACGTTCTTTCAGTTCGACGTATATAAAACATCGGACGTGACCCACATGATAATTTATATACTCCCTGTCTTTCTGAAACTGAACTTTTATCTTTGTTATTCTTAATGTGCATGCCTGAGTTGTTGTTGGTTTTTAAAGCAATATTTACACCTTTGTTGTGCAGAAAATCTGAAATATTTGTAGTGGGTTGGCCTAAGTAGATTCAGTTTCTATAAATTTTATCCTCTTATCTTCGAATTGGATGAACTTCCTTCAAAGCTTGGCTGTTGACGGCTATTTGTTTTATTCTGTTCAGTTCTTCATTGAAATTAGCCTCTGACAAGGGCACATTTATCAGTCTGTGGCTCATACTGTATGCTGCTACTTTGTGCTGATACGGGTGGGTGGACGAATTATGAATGATAATATGTGCTGGTTTACGATAAATTGAAAAATATGTTTGTTGTTAACTTTTGTTATTGTCAAGTCCGAAATAAAATTTATAGAGTCGTCGTTTTCCATATCCATGGTGAATGTGATAGAAGGGTTGAGAGAATTGATGAAATTACAAAACTTAGTCACTGTCTGTTTGTTTCTGTGAAACATACCAGACCAATACACGAAACTCCTTACCAGTGGGTTACTGTGTATTTCGCCTCTTCAAATCGCCCATGAATCTATCTGCCAGAATTGGACTGAGTGGGTTTCCCATTAGAAGACCTTTGCAGGATGAATAAAAAATCATTGAATTGGAAATAATTCTGTGTCTGTGTCAAGTAATCCTTGATCAAATACCGGATGATGCCAAATTGATTTCATTCGATGTAAAGAATTTGTTTCCTAGTATTCTTCCGAATGGAACGATTATTCTCGTAGAGAATCTATTGGACAAAAGGTCTATCAATCCGGTACTAAAAAAGGAAATATTAGACTTTCTTACGGCTTGTTTGTCACAAAATTACTTCCAATTCAATAAAATTTTTTACTCATTCTGCAAAGGTCTCATAATGGGAAACCCACTTAGTCCCATTCTGGCAAAGATTTTCATGGACGGTATAGATATATGAAAGATATCCTGGTATGTTTCACAGGAGCAAACAGACAGGTGCCGAGATCCATGTAGGTCCATCATAACATGATGAACCTACATAATGAACCTAACCATACGGTCATTGCTCGTCACTCGTGAGAGAGCAATGACTGTTTTTCGCGAGAAGAATACTATACTTTTTTTATGAGTTTCATTCGTTGAGAATCATCCCAGAGTAATATCTCTGAATTTTTTTTGTTGTTTAATCCAATTGCAAACAGTCTGAAAATTGAGTGATTGGAAAATATTAAAAATTGCATTTGGTATGATTTGGACACAAAATCATTGATATCCGATCCCTGAGTTTCACAAAACTCCCCACAAATCAGTTTGACATGAATCTTTTTGCGTGAGGAACTTTTGAAAAATATCAATTTCCTCAGAATAATATAAAATTTTGGTGAGGTACACTCATTTTCACTTTCGTAGTCAATGTTTTTATTGTTGTTTTTCGCTTGAAACTATAATATTTTTCAGACGAACTGAAGCTTTCTATGGAAAAAAGACTTCTTGAAATCGTTGAGTAGTTCTTGGATTTGATCATTGCGAGTACAAGCAAATATTTTCTCTTCCTAATATTAGTCTGGTAAACCTCCAAACAACCCTCATTCTCAATTCAAACCCAGAACCTTAACTATTACTCGAACCTCTGAAAGTTATGTTTATTAAAAAATTATAAGAAGTATCTCTGAGGACTACCATGATGATGAAAGTATCCGAGAAAGATCCATATATTGAACAGTTTTTAGAAGAGATCAGTTGAGTACCTATCGAAAAAAAAGCAATCAATTAAATTCAAAACAAACTCTTCAAGAAGTGTAGCTTATGCACAGTAGTTTCTTCCAGATACAACTCAATGAAGCCGTGCACATGAACTTTTGTATTCGTTCCAATTCAAACGAAATTACTATGGCTGGTGATGAATCAATTAACAACGGCATGAATGATTTTACAAATTATCACTGTTACAAGAGCAGAATTGGCTCTTTCGATTAAATGAAGTCGTAATATTATGCATGAAATGCGTGTTTATGTATCCAAAAGTTGTTGATAATAAGCTGAAGAGTAGTGTCTGCAACCTAAGACTTCGAGAAGGAAACCATTAAGGATGACATTGTTCCATGAAAGTAAACAACCCATACTAATCTTATGGAAAACTAGTTTCGGTAAAAATCGCTGAAATTTCAATATGATGTAGCCCATGCCATCCTGAACAAAAGTGACCATTGCGCCAACTCTCTGAATGCCGGCGTTTGGATTCTACAGGGGGTCAAAGAAACATTTCGTTGTCTTTTTATGTTCTGTGATATAATTCCACCGGAACATGGTTATAGATATATAACGAAAAAAGAACTTATGATATTCCTTTGTTAATTGCGTTAAGCAATATTTAAAGTGAGACAGTATTTGATGCAGACTCGTTTCATCGAATATCGGCTCTGTAGACATCGATAGAGAATCAGTTTGAAAAAACTCAGAAGACATGAGGGGATGGTTTGATGAAGGTGACATTTTTGTTGTGGATCGGGATTATCGAGATGCCATACCCTTACTGAATGACCTTGACATACGATATGCAATACTTGCGATTGTTCCACGAGGACAACAACAGCTTTCCACTGAGGAAGCAAATAAATCTCGATTAGTGACGAAAACTAGATGGATAGTTGAAGCAATAAATGGACATTTGCAGAATATGTTCAAGTTTTTTGCCTAAATGATCGAAATACCACACGTCAACAATCTTAGCGATCTATATCAAATCGCTGGTGCAGTCATCAACAGCTTCCAACCCCCAGTCTCAATGAGAGGTGCCAATGCTCAGCTGGCACAAGAATTACAGGAGGTAAATGTCGTCCAGGCTCGAGTGGAAGTGGACATTCTTCATCTGAGAAATGGTCAATGGGTCCGTATGAATGGAAACCTGATTCCAAACTTTCCACGCCTTACGATAGATTATCTGAGAGATTCGATCGTTGGTATATACCAGGTTCAATTTTCAACTTCGTATATACAGGATAAATTGCAGAGGGAAGAAAATGAAAAGTTTTAGGTCGATATTTTCGAAAAGGAACCTGGATTCATGAGAGTTAGAAATGCCACAAAATATCAACTGTGAATCGAATATGATGATGGAGACGAATCTGATGAATCTAACGAGCCCATATCAGGATACTATTTCACTAGTAAAACCGGTGCCAGGACTTTAGGAACATGAATTTCACTAGTTCGGACTTCCATTGTCTATTATATAAAATGATTTGAAATCCCTGAAACAAGTAAAAAAGAATAATTAAAAAGAATAGTTGAAAATAACAATTATATTAAGCAACAATAAACCTGAAATGAAATGATAGTGAAATAACCTACAAGTAAAAATATAATATCACTATCATTTCATTTCAGGTTTATTGTTGCTTAATATAATTGTTATTTTCAACTATTCTTTTTAATTATTCTTTTTTACTTGTTTCAGGGATTTCAAATCATTTTATATAATAGACAATGGAAGTCCGAACTAGTGAAATTCATCACGAAACATTGTCAATCACCTTCAAACAAACTTTAGGAACATGTGCGCATTCTGCCAGTGTTTTGTAGTATCTTGGTCACGCTAGACATGACCCCAACAGTCGATACCCCTTAAGCTCCCTACTAAAGTCAATAATGGACGCGACAAATAGACCACAACAAATAGTTCCTGATAGTGCGCTTGAAATGAGTAGTTGGGTACTGAAACCATGACAGTCATGCCGATGAATAAACTCCTCAAAATGTATTTCAATAACACCTCAAAAAACCCAACACCGGTATAAAGGTGGTCAGTTCAAATGCATGACATTTCTTCTGAAATCTAATTCTTTATTGCGATGGAAATCACTTGCATGCTTATTCTTCATTGCCATTGAATTAATTGCAGATTCAATGATTGTAATAGGAGATTTTTCCAGTTATGTAAGAATGTCTCATGCTCTATTCAGTGATATCTATATAAGACCTACCCTACACTGATGAGGGGTAAAATCCCGAGACCGGTATAACTCGTTTCGGAAAGCGAAATGTAAATCTCCCGAAAGGTTGTCTTAATGCTGAATTGATTCAACTCACTTTAGTAGGTTGTGGTACTTACCATTATTTCTGTTTCCTCTGAATCAGACCACATGTTTGGAATCGTGCTGAATTCATGTTATGATGTCATTTTAATTCATATTTTATAAATCTGTCAGTTGCGGGCACAATTTATTGATGACAATGGCATTTATGGAAACCAGAATATCATTCTATAAAAGCATATCATTAATCTCTATAATTTTCATCATTCATTATTCAAAATGTGAAAACATTCGATGGTGCAAAACAGAAATATATTTTATACTAATACGCATAATGATGCCGTGATCCTCTCCAGAAGACACTTGTTTAACAGCATAACATCTTTTTGGAGAATAAGTTATTGTTTTCATCCTGTACTTTTACAAAAAATCGGGTTGAGACGAGGTGGTCCTGGTCCTGAAAAAAATTCTGAATATATAAATATAAATAGTAAACGAATAATATTTTGAAAAAAAAAATTTAAACGAGTTGCAACCATATATTCATGAATTCTTATTAGAGATAATTTTGTTATTGAAATGTTTCGAAGTTTGTTTAGGAAACAATATTATTTTCCGTTAAAAAGAAATTATTGATTATTCGAGAAATACTATACTTCAAACCCCTGTATAATTCAAACCATGACATTCGCGAGGTAGGCACTGTGGAACTTTTTGATCAAGCATGACTCATCTACATTGAGTCAGAAAGTAAAAGAAATTCACGGATGATTTTAGAAATCATTTCAAAATTATTGTGAAACATTCCTTCTCCATATTTTTGAACCATTAGGCATGAAATCCGTCAAATATCTCCAGACATTTTGAAAAATGTAAGAAATGAATTTTACCATCGGCTTGGACTATGCCAGCATGTACATGGTAAACACTTTGAGCATCTATTAAATTAAATCTTATTTGTACCATTTTTTTTAACCGTTACCCTTTTGTTTATTGTAAAACTAGATAGTTCACTATAATCTCCTCGATCAAATTTTAAAAATCGATCACTGTTGTTAAGGGAAATAAATTGTTTCTAAAGCACATTACAACCCAACCTTTATTGCTATTTAATAATTTTCTAGGGGTAGCTACCCTGCTTAGGAGTGTACGTAATTTGATTTATTACATTGTTAAAATGTTTCTCCATTGAAGGCAAAATCGACCTGTTTCAACATTTTCTTCAAAGCTGCGCATTTTTCATACGACATGAGGATAATTTGAAAAATGCTAATTTTTTATGCAAATTATTAAGTTGATAGTATCTCGGAAACTAATCGATGAAATTTTAAAAATCGAGCACTGCTGTTTAGAGGAATAATATGTCTTTAAAATTTAATACAAATCAACCCTTATTGCTTTTTAAAAAAATTTAGGGGGTAGCTACCCTATATAAGGGATGCATGTAATTTGGTTCATTAGAATGTAGAAATATATTTCTCTTGAAAACAAAATCGACCTGTCTCAGGAATTTTGCAAGAAACATTCTGCTACAATTCTACTGAAGGTACCACACTGTATATTAGCTACATAGTTTCACATAGTTGAATATATTGGTGGAAGCTGGTTATACAAAGGAATACATTTTTTTTTAAATTGAAAATATGTTTTTAATCGCCCCGTATCTTCCAAAACAATTTTTGTCGATGTTGGACGATATTTGTAATTGTGGTTCAATTCGATTCAAAATCATAGTTTCCAATCTGAAAATCCACACTTACTAAATTTGATTCGAATAAGACCATGATTACAAATTTCGTCCGCCATCTTGGAGTCACCATATTGTTTTTTTGCATTGACAAACAAATCATAATTTTCGACCCTGAAAACCACCACTCATCAATTTCGAATCAAATCGGAGCATAATTGCAAATCTTGTCCGCCATTGTGGAACCACCATTTTGTTTTTTTCCTTAGAAAAATTCCATAATACATTGTCACTGAATTTATGTCAAATTAGCTTACAAATGAAGTATCATAATTGTGAATACGTAACAGTTTTCTTTCCCGCAGGAAGGCGCCAAAATAGAAAGTTATGTAGCGAAAATTAACATGGCCGAATTCCTTATAAACTTACCTTTTCAATGATGTGTCACACTTACTACTTTCTCTATTCAAATTGTTTGGGTGAAAACAAAAAACAGAAAACATGCGTTTTGAAGATATTCGATCTGTTTCGTTTTCGGTACCTGAAATGAAAAAACACTAAAAATTAAATCAATAATCGAGATACAAAATGAAAATGACTATAGAGTAAAAAGAAATAAAAAAAGATCAAAATGAAAATAAGCAAAAAATTGAATTTTAATCAAAATTTCAAAAATATTTCAAACCAAGTTACATCTGTGTAGTGTGTGGTTATTTGTTGTCTTTGAAGAAATTGAGAACAACGTATTAGGATTTATGCAAACGGAAGCAACGGCAGATGGAATAAAAATTCCTTTCGCGAAGGTAAGGAGCAATAGTGATAATAAGTGAATTTGTAGCCAATATTGTATTTCCACTTTAAAGGTTCAAGAACAAGTAGCTGAAACCTCAGGGTTTGCGTGCGATCTGTACGAAAAATTAATTCAGAGATGAAGAAAATAGAAAATGTTGAGAAAACAACATTTTTGACTACAAATAAAAAAGATGTATCGAAAATTCCAAAATTGTGATGCATGCATAATTAATTTCCATATCAAAGAGAAACGGGTTTCTACGCTTGAGGAAATTCATAAAACTATCATCCGAGATATTGATTATTAGGGTATTAGGAAGTCTTTGCGAAAAGAAGTTGATTAGATTTCTATGGAGAAAGGTGAAAAATAGCAAGAAAATATTGATGGAACGCCGGCCTATTCGACTACTTAGAATAGAATTCTTGAAAAAAATGCAGACGTATAGAGAATAATGTCGACCCATTATTCATATGGATGGAATATTTATTCACGCATAAAAAGGTTGCAGTGATCACACCATGGAAGGACTGAAAGAAATTGTTAGTAATGGGCAACGTCTGCGGGTGATGAAAAGGGTTTGTATCTGATGGTAACATTAGATGGAAATCAAATTGTAATACAGGTGATTATCACAACGAGATGAACTTTGATAATTATAATAAATGTGTATCGGAATAGTTGATTCCGAATTTGTCGTTAAGGAGCATAATAATGAACAAATCGACAAAATACCAATGACATCGACAAAAAAACTAAATTATATGCCCTCAAAAACAACTTTGAAGCAAAATTCAAGCGATATGAAATACTCGTAGATCAGCTCTTTCTAGCAACAACTCAAAATGTTGTACTATAACAGCTAAATCACCAGGATTCGAATACAACTTAGTTTGCTTGGACTGAACTCAAAGATCACGTGGCGAATAAAAATGTTACTTTCAATGTCATATAATATTGCGACGAATTTTCAGAACAGTTTTTTTTTTCGGGCAATGGAAATCTCGTTGTTAATTGTTAAGGAGCAAGAAAATTTGAGAACGATTTATTGTTAGTTATTGATTTACATGATGAGGATAGCAACTCTGATCGGAACAGGAATATGGGGATGAAGTTTCAGAGGATGGAGACGTATTCATTTATTATTCAAACATACCTATATAGAAGACTTTATTACATGAATAAAAAAATATAAATGCCCATTGATACATTTGTATGGCCTACAGTCTAATATCTAATACATGCTTAATTGAAGTTTCTTATGTACGGTGTAACGAATTTTTCTAAACTGTCCAATCTATATCCATCAAAAAGTTTAATGTAATGGCTAGTCGCAACAGTGGTAGTAGTAGGGGTATATTGAACATAAGAGAATTTCTCATTCTTCTTGCAGGCACATTAACTCTAATCCGTGTAAGGAGTTCAGGAGAGTTGACTTCATGATTCAGTATTTTGAATAGAAATATTGCTATATTTTGGTTTCTTCTATTGTCTAGAGACAATATTCTGAACTCATTTCTCAATTGTGTTGTTCTAACTATTCTGTAGTTGGGATAGATACGATATTTTTTGTAGTACAACAATCTCAAAAAAAATTTTTGAACTTTTCTACTTCGAAAAGTGTTGATTCTGAACTCATTTCTCAATTGTGTTGTTCTAACTATTCTGTAGTTGGGATAGATACGATATTTTTTGTAGTACAACAATCTCAAAAAAAATTTTCGAACTTTTCTACTTCGAAAAGTGTTGGTTGATATTCTCCTAACCAAATTTCTGATCCGATTCAAGTTTCAGTCTGACTTGTGTGTAGTACGAAATCTTTATAGCTCCTATATTTGAAAAATTTGAAGTTTGTCTTACTATGAAGCCCAACATACATGGTTTGAGAAGTATAGTCTATCATCATATGTAATATTCAGGCCAAATGTTATCAGATCTCTTAACCTTGTTATTATTGTAACAATTTAACGAATTTACTGTTTCGAACGATTTTATTTCCAACAATATTTCACTATCACAAACTAATTTATTTATTTAGCAACTAACGCTCAATTTATTTCCACTATTTAAATTCCTTGTTGAACGGCTCGATTCACTTTCTGAATTCAACTGCCCTCTCTGGACGAGAGTTGTAGAATTCTGTAGCCTATTTGGTCATGTATTTATTCGATGAATCGGCTGGCATTGGGTCAGGGGTGGCTTCAGATTCGTTACATTGACCCCTTCTTAAAGACGTTTCGCCCTGAAATGTCATCCTTGGCGTGTGTCGATACCTGCAGGACTCCCCATATCTGCACTGTGAAGTTCGATGGAAGTAACACTCCACAGTCTTCATGCTCGATCGTAGAAGATGGTTACTGTACACCAAAATCTTGATGCCGCTGGATCTGAATATCGTTTCCAACATGCTTCTCACAATTCTCCAATCCAGCCTGTTGATCCCAGATACTAATTTCGGGATTGCCAAGTCCACGAGATTCTGGTCGAGCATCGTGTCCCTCAGTCTGGTAAGACTCCTCCAAACATTTTCATAAGACGGTTTATCTCAAGAATGCTTTTTGGTCACCAAGTAGAAAATGTTTCTCTGACCTTTCTTCAACTGTAGCACTCCTCTGTCTTTAGGATTCTGTTCTCGTAATGTTTGGAGCTGACCAAATTTCTTGTTGATAACACTGCGATACCCCTGGACATTTGGAGATCCTCTGCCATGCAGTGAGCTAGTGCGTAATCAACTGGAACCTTGAAAAGGTCTCGTGGCTCTTCTTGAGTTACCCCATGTATGACCTTCTGTCCGTTCAAGTATAAAGACATGAACTTCTGGAACGTCATTTCATCCTCTGGTGGTCTGAGGGAGCAAACTTGGTCGAGATTTCCATCATAAGGAGCCAATCGATTAAAACGGACGACCCTAGGCTTTCCTCGAAGTGGCTTATGGATTACGTAGACGAGGTCATTTATCTTCTTCATGATTTTGTACAGACCTTCCCGCGAGTTCCGCAACTTCGGCGATAAATCATTGCGTCGCTTAGGGTTGTACAGCCAAACTATGTCACCGGTTTCGAATCCTCCAGCATAGGCCTTCTTCATCCTATCGCTGGCATTCCGGATGTTCAGACGGACTTGATGGATGTCGTCATTCTCTGCCGAAGCCTGCTGACATAGTCTTCCCCCGCAGTGTCTTGTTCTGGAGGCGTCCTGAATTTCAGAACGCAAAGAAGCCGCAGCTGTTGGCCGGTTGACTCGTGCACTGCCGAACGGTAGGCCAACAGGAACAGGTGAAGAGGTACTGATCCCAGTTTCTTTGATGGTCAGAGATTACCTTGGACAAGTGGCGGTTTATGGTCTTATTAATTCATTCCACCATTTCACCAGACTGTGGATGTGAGGCTGTTCTGATCTTTCGATTGTCCAACAGTTTGCATATTTCTTGGAATTTGGAATAAGATGGACTTGAAATTTCTGCCCTGGTCCGAATACAGCTCCAATGGGACACCAAATCGACATATCCATTCCTTAACCAGGACGTCAGCGACGGTAATGGCTTCCTGGTTGGGCAGGGCATAGGCTTCTGTCCACTTGCTGAAGAAGTCTATGGCAACCAGGATGTATTTGTTCTCACGATCGGACTCTGTAAACGGACCGGCGATGTCGATGGCGATTCTCTCGAAGGGACTACCCACGTTATACTGGCGCATTGAAGCTTTCGGTTGTACTCGAGGTCCGTTACTGGCAGCACATACAGCACATTTTCTGCACCAGTCCTTGACGCCGGCTTGGCAATCAACCCAGTAAAACCGTTGTCTCACTTTCTGGAGGGTCTTCGTTACTCCCAGATGTCTTCCAATGACACCATTATGGATTTATTTGAGCACTTCCGTCTTCTGTTCCTGGGTACCACTTTCTGGCGCCTTTCTTCTCTGCCGTCTTCAGACTCCAACGTCCGTTTCAGAACCCCGTTAGGTAGGACTTAACCGCTGGCGAATAACCTTACTTACTTTCCTTCCATCCGATGACTAAACCAAAATCTAGGTCTTTCTCTTGATCTTCCTTGATCTTATTTTCCTCCCAGTTGTCGTCTACAGCTGTAGAACAAATAGCTGCTTCCTTTTCTTCTGCTCGTCGGCAATGTGAGCAGTCATCGGGGCATGGTCTCCGTGACAGGGCATCTGCGTTTTTATGACTAATCCCGGCTCGATGTTCTATTTCGAAGTCAAATTCTTGAAGTCTCTCAATCCAGCGCGCTACTTGGTCCTCAGAATATTTGAACTGCAGAAGCCATTTTAGAGCTGCATGGTCCGTTCTCAACAGAAATCTTCTTCCATACACGTAATTGTAGAAATGCCCTACACCTTTGACAATGGCCAGCAGCTCTCGCCTGGTGACACAATAATTGCGCTCTGGTTTACTGAGCGTTCTGCTGAAGTAGCCAATAACTTTCTCCTGTCCATCTTGGATCTGAGAAAGGACTGCTCCAAGTTCCACGTTGCTGACGTTCGTATCTTAAATGAATTTTCCGTCCAGTAGGGGATAGCTCAAAACAGGAGCGTTGATCAAAGTTCTTTTCAACTTCTTGAATGAGTTTTGGCATTCCTCACACCACTGGAACTGGATTTGCCCTTCTGTGAGTCGAGTCAATGGTTTGGCGATGTTGGCAAACCCCAGCACATATCTGAG